TTCTCTCTTTCTCTCTTTCTCTCTTTCTCTCTTTCTCTCTTTCTTTCTTTCTTTCTTCTCTCCCCCCCCCGCCCCCTTTCTTTTCTGAACATGTAATTTTTGATATGTTCAGTGCTAAACTCATATGAGAAAATTTTGAGAATAGGGAATAGTTGTCCTTGATGTGATCGGCCATTTCTTCCTCTGGATTCAAACTTCTGAATTTTTTTTTTTCCCATCTTGTTTTCTTTCTAGCTTTTTCTTATCTCATTCTGTCAGTTTAGATGCATTGCATTCTTATGTGCATTCTGCTGTTACCATTTCAGAAAACATTAGCTAGAATAAAAGAACGTGTTCTGTCTATCACAGTTAGTTATTGTCTTGTACTTTCTTAGATTCAAAAGGCCATATACTCCTGTCTTCCCTACAGGAATAAAGTAGTACAAAACATAACTAAATGTGGATGACATGTATGGAAAGAGAGAGATGAGCCAGAACAGCATTGTTCCTTGTTGCTTATAAGCTCTTGGTTGTGCCAATATGGAATATTTGTTAGAAAGTCTTTTATGAGTGTGGCAAAGGGATGGCATGGGTTCATGCAGATTTCACGTTCTGATTAATTCATAATATTTTATAAGAAAATTTCATCTAGGACTTAAAATGTTTGTGGTTTACAACTCTTGAACATTACTGACAGGAAGAAGGCAGTATTAACTCCTGCAAGACCCTTGCTGTTGGGAAGGGGAGGAAACTGCAAGCAGGAAACTGGTTCAAGCTTTGGGGCTGAGTTCTGTCTTTGGCTCGCTATGATGGATGGGTCTGAGAGACCACCAAAGAGTATAATGTAACCCATATGTTTTGTTTTAAAATTTCTGAAGTATGTGATTTCCTTTCTTACTTTCTTCTTCTGGGAAACTTTTCATGGAAGAAATGGGCTTTGCTTCAAATTTTTAAGATACGTACCTGGAGGCATTTGAGGAAACAACATAGTTACTATTCTGTCCACCTGTTTGTTCTGTATTTGGAATAACCAAAGACAATAGTATTACCTTTCATTTACTCAAGTGTAATCTGGGCAAAGCACTTCCCTTCAATGCAGGTTAATATATAAATTTTAATTCATATAAATGTACAATAAATGTAATACAGGAATATTTATTCTGTATGAACTTTCCACATGAGCTGATTCCTGAAAGAAATAAATTCACCAAACACATTATATATACAAAAAAGCTGTTTTCTCCAGCAGGATTTGAAACAGTGAAAAATCCCAGAAATGTGGATCTAGTGTGGCTCTAAGGCAGGCAATAAAGTGCGACAAAGCTGTAAGAAATATAGTTATTTCTTTAGTTGTGGTTCAGGAATAACAGAAGTCCTTTGTCATCCAGAGTTACATGTTGCAAGAAATCATCTAAGTGTGGCTAATGTGAAAAATGTTATAGAACAATATTCCATTATAACACCACCTTTCAGACATTCGTTCTGGAGCAAGGTGTTCATTTTTGGATTCAGTAACAACTGGTTGTGCATCCTCCTATACAATGTTATAGAAGTAAACATAATTAACTCTTCTTTACAGTTGTTAGCACATAAAATTAAGGGGTTCTTATAGCCAACCTGACAGTTATTCTTTTTGCATAGGTTGCTCATTTATACACTACAATAACAGAGAAATATTTTTTGATTTCCATAAATCTGCTTATGATTCTCTCTTTGAAGATGAAAGTAATTATCCACCCACACGAAATTAGGAAGTGATATAACACTAATAAACACAGTTGTAAAAGAGATTTACATAAAATATATCCTTAAATTGAAGTATCAGCAGCCTGAAAAAGAATATTGTGCTTGAGCAGAACTTGTGAAATTTGTTCATATGAAGTTGAGAATAGGCCTGTGCCTTCTAAGTAAAGAATGTCTTTCTTTCTGTACGGAGTTTGAGTTAATTTGTATAAAATACAATGTGGCAAAATTAAGCTTTGAGGTAAATTGATCAATGTTCATCCAAAGGTGAAGAATATAAGCCTGAGCCTCATTTCACTTTTAAACACCAAAAAACGTCTCAAAGGGCTTTGGGGAGATTTACATGATGTGCCAAAAATTCTTCTTGCCTGTAATAATTTCATCCCAGAATGATTTAAAAGGGCACACCATTTAATGTGAACTATGTAGGAAGTCAAGATCTGTTTGTTTACCTCATGACATGAAAGTAGTAATGGCAGTGGAAAGGAACCTCTCCTTGTGGGCAAACAGGCCCATAAGAGAGAGAAGCTGTATCAGGATCAAATTCCCACTGTTGCAGGTTTTCTCTGGAGTCTGCTCTGCAGACTCCTGGTCACTGCTGTCATGGCTGTCAAAGATTTGGATGCTACTCCTCACCTGGGATGATGGGTCACAGAGCTTAGATGCTATGCTTTGGAAATTGAGGATGTCCCCTCACGGATGTCCTGTGTGATTCCTGGTACTGGACTCTGCAACCATTGTGCTGATGTCTCTGCTGATCCATGCTGCAAAATAATGCAAATCAGCTGTAGCGGGGCTGTGGGAGTTGAAGAAGCCTAGTTTTTAAGTCCATTGTTGGATTAGCTATGATGAGTGCTCTATCTGTCATAGAATCATAGAATAATTGAGGTTGGAAAAGACCTCTAAGATCATCGAGTCCAACCGTCGACCCAACACCACCATGTCCACTAAACCATGTCCCTAAGTGCCTCATCTACTCGTCTTTTAAATACCTCCAGGGATGGGGACTCCACCACATATATACTACACATTTCAAAGATCTTTTTCACTAGCCTTAGCAAACTGGCTCAAATCAGCTCAACCTTTGATCTGGGAGGCTTAAAGCATAAACATTTATTTACATGTGTTT